CTATACCAAACTCATGGAGTTGGCATGGTCCTTTATTGAGTAGACAATATATTATCAGCGCGTCATTCATTATGTTGAAACCTCTTTTCAGAATTACTTTAACATAAATAAAATACTTTAAAAGAATAAAATTGTTAATAAAGCTGGAGTAATTTTAGTAAAAAATTGTCGGAATAGTAATAAAAAAAATTTTTTAAGAAAATATTATTTTTTTTATTATTTATAACAAGGCTGTCCAAATCAGATGCGATCGTGGGCCAATAGAAATTATTGTAGAGATTCTCTACAATAATTGTTGCAGCAACAAATACATACGTTCATAGTTGTTATTATAAATACATTATAACATTATAAATACGGTTATAATGTTAAATTTAGTTTTTATTAATTTATCAATTTAAATTTATTTATTTGGTAAAATATAAAAATAAAATAATGTAGTTTTACCTGTATACCAAAAGAAAATTTGCGTAATTGTAGTAGATTAAAAAAATGGCGCGGGCCGTAGAGACGCTAACCGCGGACCGCATGTGGCTCGCGGGCCATACTTTGGACAGCCCTGGTTTATAAGACTATTAAGTATTCATTTATATTAAAATTCACAAACGTATGTTTATACAAATATATCAAATGAATGACATTCATTTTTTGTATTACGAGTATAAACCTTTAACATATTTACAACTTTCGATTTGTAAAAAAAAATGTGAACTATCAATTTATAACGTAGTAAATATATTGTTTACTATATAACTATTCTATTATTATAACTACAAAATCCATCTTCATGTATATTGAGGTATACAGTAATTAATCAAATTATTATTATTTACTTATAGTTAATAAAAATAGTAATAAAACTAACGTAATTCATGCTTGTTTGTATCATTTATTGCTCTATAATTAAATTATTTACGATTTAAATGTTTTCACAGGTTTTGAACTAAAAATGAACTGATCTATCAATCAATCTAGTTCATGTTAATTTGCTTGTCGGCTATTCAGTATGTAATTTACGATAATTTTGATGTCTTTTGAACTTTTTTTTTACTCTGAGTTCTAAGTTTATTGTATATCATTTAATGCGATTTAATTACTTTTATATGGGGACTTTTTATAATCAGTAAAATTGCAACAAATTACTCGTAAAGAGTTTCAAAACAATTTATATTTATCTTTTTAGTATTTTATTATTATAAAAGTACTTAAGTCTTAATACTTAACACTCGTATGAATAATGAAATTTCCATTTAAGGAAAAAAGTGTTAAGGATAAATTTATTTATTTTTGCGTAGTTTAATTTGGTTAACTAAGATATTTCAATCGAATTTTAAAGAATTCGCTTTTAAGAAATAAAAATTCTAAATAAAAATTCCCCAAAAATTGGAAACACCTACAAAGGCAACATAAATTATTAAACACTTTATTTTTTTTTTTTTTATAAATTTTTACTTTGTATTTTTAATGGACCAAAATACATTTTCGTTAGAAATTTACTTTTGGTTTTTCTAAATCGACGTCAAGATTACTGCACACTTTTGATAGTTTTTATAGCTTTCATATTTTTTACTAATATTTTGTAATTTTAGAAATTTCTCATATTAATCAAATTACGTTAAATAAAGAAAATTTTTATTAAAAGTCATTACTTTATGACTTTTGTGTATGGTTGTTCTTGGGTTTCACAAATTGATATTCTCAAAATTTTGTACAGTATCATTTTATAATGACATCACGAAATTACTTGAGCTATTATATTAAAGACTTACTGATCCAAATTTTGTAAAAAAAGAAACAAAGAAAGATGTCTACCTTATTTAACTCTCACAGAAATACTCTCAGAATAAATGAAGTATTTGCTATTTTGCTATTTTTTAACTACATTTTTTTTATAACTATCTTTTTTTATATTTACATAAAATCCCACGCACATTTATTTGTAAACAATTTTTTTTAAAGTATTATCAATAAAAATCAACCAATTCTAATTATTGACTGAATTGATTTGCGTAGATTTATAAAAACTCTATGTAGAGAGTTTACTCTATTAGTAAACGTTTACTCTATTAGTAAACGTTTACTCTATTAGTAAACGTTTAATCTATTAGTTTACTCTATTAGTAAACGTTTACTATATTAGTTTACTCTATTAGTAAATGCTTACTAGATACTATATAGTACTAGATTCATAAAAACTCTATGTAGATAGTTTACTATTAGTTTACTATTATTCACTCTATTAGCAAACGTTTACTCTTTTACTCTATTAGTAAACGTTTACTCTATTAGTAAATGCTTACTCTATTAGTAAACGCTTACTCTATTAGTAAATGCTTACTCTATTAGTAAACGCTTACACTATTAGTAAGCGTTAACTCTATTAGTAAACATTTACACTATTATGCAGTACTTATTTGGTGACCAAACATTTCAGTAAAAATCAACGAAAGTCACTTTAAATAAACTATATAGACAAGTATGCGGAAGTCTCATAAAGCCTATGAAAACTAATTCTACAGATGCATTGGGTGAAAATGCACAGGAACTGCCCTACAGCACTCAAAAAAATGTGCTAAATATGCTCTAACTACATACTAGTTAAATTGACCTTATCATTTTGTTAGAGAAAGAAGAAAACCCACATATGGTTTGGTTAAACCAACATAATACGTAGTGTAATAATATTTCAACCTGAGACTTAGTTAAAATCTAGTAAATCAACCAAATTACTTTTCAGATTGTCGGCACTATTCATATTTAAAAGAAATTTTACCTACAAAACATTGATAAGATAATTAGAAGAAATTTGCAGGTTTCGTACAACTATACTATACAGAGATTTACTTAATACTTAAATAAATACTTACTTAAATAAATTCAATATTACCATTCATAATTGGGAGAATTGTGTAGGATTTGTAAGTCTGATACATATATGGATCTTAACTAGTAAATGGTAACACTAAGACTGATATACTAGAACCTCTTTTACAAAAAAATTTGCCTTTTAGCAAACACCCCACTGTATTTTGTGCAAAGCTATATACCATCGAAACCTATAGGCACAAATATTTGATTTTAAAAGATATATAATCTCTTTGATATATCGACAATCAATATAATGTGTGACAACTGAAAAACTATTTATCGCTCTTGAATGAGCTAAGACAAAGCAATCCCGTTATATTGTTATAGATTTCGGGACATGATGGACACGATGGCAATGAAAATTGGACCTGAACCATACTGTCCTTAGGCAAAACCGAACATAGTTGAAATATTCAGAAAATACGAAGACACTCAACTTTTAGCATGTACTGTAAAGGCCATGAACAGGCTTAGGCAGGCAGTTTTTATACACTACTTACACTGAGTAGGGATATTACAAATTCTTACCGGGTTTTTGAAGAGGACACTGTTTGGCTGAAATACCACATTAAGAAAGGAGAATCTTTCAAATAGTGGTTGTTGTTGTGAAATCTTTTCTGTGTATGCCAAGACTGCTCACTACTACACTTTTTCATTTGGATGACACACTAGTCGCCCTCATAACATATGAAACAAAACAACACCGTCAAAAGGTACTCACGTTCATTAAAAGTAATATGATCACTTAAAACAACCACCTGAGTCGACGGTATATAGTAACTTTAAAAATTATAATAACTTTTTGAAAATTGATGATAATAACAACTAATTAAATAAAATTGATACAAATAGGCGCATAACTAGACAAACAGATAAATGACATAGATATATGAAGAGATAGATGAGCACCGCAAAACCGACGAAACTATAAAATGTATAAATATTTCTTATGGTACCCAGTGTTTTCTTCACTGCATTACATATATCTTGGTAAATTTAATATTAAATAGAAATAATCAAAGGCTCCAAAATCATTAATTTATGTCTTGCAACTGAAAAGCTGAAGACGAACTGTTTGAGTGAAGCATAATAATAATACATTAAAATGGAAAAAGTGTGATAGTATATGGTATACATGAAGCCTCTAATAGTTAAAAAACATCTACGTGGCCTATGCTTTGAAAATTCAAAGTAAGTATTTATACTTAGTAAAGTAATTAGTGAGAAATTTTGTTAACATGAATAACAAATAATTATAGAACGAACAGTAGAAAATTATAATTTAATTATATATATATTACTATATTAACATCTTAATTATATATTAAAAATTTCTTGTTCTTTATTTCTCGTGTCAGCCAATCAAATTCAGAAAAATTGCATACCTAATAAATCTCATTAAAATGTGAAGCTCGTGGCTTTTATTCTAATTTGCATAATTCAATAAGAAAACCTTATGTGTTGCATAAGATATATTATTTTATTTGTTTAGTAATTTCCATTTTTTAAATTTTATAAAACCCTAACGGGGTTTTTATACCGAACGGGGAATGACTTAAATAATTTTTTTTTTTAAATAATTTAATATAATATTATTACGACAGATTTGTATCAAATGCGAAATGAAATAATTCAAATAAAAAATTTTAAGTTCCATAATTTATTTAGATTCTGTACAGAAATCTGTTCTATATATGATATGTGCCATTTCTTAATACTTTTGTGTAAGGTTAAGAATTATAGGTGTTCGAAGAGTGACATGTAGTACAGCACACTAAAAATTCTTTTTAAAGTTCTTGGATTTATTTAAAAAATAATTTATAACTATTCCTATAGCATTTTTAAATGCAATAAAAGTGTCACAAAATTATATGCATTATATGCATTTAGATTCCTCTATGAAATTGTAATAAGTTCAACCTTAGGGTCAAGCCTACAGTTTTTCTGTCCTGTCACTGAACCATGGGGTTCAGCAAACTATGCGATGGCATGACAAGTAATATAGAGATTTTTATTAATGTTACCTAAATGTTTTATAGGTCGTCTAGATTTTGTTAATCATTTAACTGTAAAAGCTTAAAGTAATGTAAAATTCATAACTTATTTGTTATATTACACACGTATTTTCTATTATACAATCTATGCCTATATAGCATTCTGTTCATATATAAATATCCATATATATAATATTATAATTTATTAGTACATTTCCTATCTCTTTCTCTCTCTCTCTCTCTCTCTCTCTCTCTATCTTTCTTTCTCTCTCTCCCTCTATTTGTATTCTACTCGTGCTTCTATAAATAAGTATATAATCTTAAAATAATGTTATAAAATGAGATCTTGCATAAAATAACATTTTTTTTATAATATGAATGAAAGTAGTAAATACTGCTGCAATTTTTGCATTTTATGCCACATCTCCAC